TGTTTTGAACTGATTGGTTGTATCCCTAAAATTCATATTTGAAACCCTAACTCCAAGTTTGGTTGTGTTTGCATATGGGGCCTCCAAAAAAAATTGATTAAGGTTAAATAAGTTCATAAGGGTGGAGCCGCAATTGATAAAATTAGTGTCATTATAAAAACTAAAATTTTAGGAATTTTTTTTTGCTAAAAACCAGAGAACTTGTTCTTTCTCTCTTTCCCCACTCTTGCATGGATCAAGGAAGGGCCATGTGAAAATACAGCAAGAAGGTGGCCACCTGCAAGCCAGGAAGAGAGTCCTCACCAGAAACCAAATCAGTTGGCAACTTTATCATGGACTTCTAGCCTGAAGAACAGTGAGAAAATAAATGTCTATTGTTTAAGCCATCCAGTCTGTGGTAATTTGTTATAGCAGCCCTAGAAGATGAACACACCTTGGTACCCTTTTGCCCCTCTCCTGAAATCACTTACCCAGGATAGCAGTTGAAAGCATGACAAGGCCTGGACTAAGCTGTGACAATAAAATGGGATAAGAGGCAAATTTCAGATTCATTCCAAAGAAAACAACAACAACAAAATGACAGGGAGACTAAGAGAACAGATTACATATTAAGGATGAAATAAAGTAAATAGTCACAGATGACTCCAAGACTTCTAGTCTGGGAGACTAAAGAAATCACTGACAGAAATTCAGAGCTGTCAAGGGGAGATGATTTGGAAGAAAAAGAAGATAATTTCAGTTTTGCACATGTTGCATATAAAGTGCTAACAGAATATCTAATTCGTGAGGGCAGGTAGAAATATGGAAAAGGTAGAGTTGAAAATTTCAGGATTCAGATTTAAGAGTCATTCATCCAGAAAAGCACAGAATATGCCCGGCCAGTGTAGGTCAGTGGTTGAGCATCAACCCAGGAATCAAGAGGTTGCCGGTTCGATTCCTGTTAAGGGAGCATGCCCAGGTTGTGGGCTTGATCCCCTGTGGGAGGTATGTAGGAGGCCGCCAATCAATGATGTTTCTCTCTCTCATTGATGTTTCTATCTCTCTAGCCCTCTCCCTGCTAAAGGACCCCCTGCCATGCTTCCTTTTGTCCCTATCCACCTGATCTTTTCCTTCCTTCATACCTACATAAATCTTAAGCCTAGCAGTGACACTTAAACCTAATGAGGCTTCTGATCCTTATTAATGAGAACAAAAATAGAACTTAAGTAACCTTGAAGATGTAACAAATTTCAAAACATATCTTATAGGGGAGTTTAATAAGGCTATTAGTAGCAAATCTTACAAAGCTTTTTTTTTTTAATGCTCCCTGCTCCCATTTTTATAATGTACACCTAGTTTAAGCTCACTTGAGTTCTCTGTGTAACTGGTTCATATCACACCTAAACTCAAGTCAAGTGGAAGTAAACTAGAGATTCAGTTATAGATTATTCCAGGGACAAAGTTAAGCCACCTCTGCTTAGAAATGAGAAGTAGTTAAGGGGAATGTCAAAACATAATTTACTTTGGCTTACCACTGAGGGTCAAGAGAGGAGAGCTACAACATCTTATTCCTGAAGGAATGCATATTTGACTTATAGAACAGGATACAGCAGGAGGAGTTTAAGAGTATCTCCCAATTTCTCAAGAGTTCTTCCAGCAAAGAGGCCCAGATCATGTTACTGCATCTGGATTTGGCTTTTAGCCCTTCTGATTTAGACAAACTGTGATTGGTTTCTTTCTTTTTCTTTTTTAAACCACTACATATTTCTTTTCCTGCTGCATCTATTTTCTTTTTATGCAAACATTTGTTTTACCTTCTGGAATATTTTATCTATCTCTTTATTCTTTGAAATGAAGAAGAGGAACTTAAGGGGATAGTTCTAAAGAGATATCTTTCCCAACAAAGGGGAGAGAGTTGGCAGGCTTTGAACTCTATTTTAGCTCCTTGTTTGGTATCAAGGACAGGGTCTTTGTTTAACACAATTATTTCCCTTGCTGCTAAAATCAGCTTGCTAGGAAAAGCTGACAGTGGCCCATCTACCCTCAACCATCCACTGTTCCTGGGAATTCAGCTAAGCAGAAAGATGAAACTGACACCTGCTCTGGGGTTCAACAAGCAGCTCAGAATGACTGAAGGAACATACATACCACTCTTATACAAAACAGTAAAATAAGTTAATTAATTAATCATAGTAAACTGAAATGTATGGTGTTCAATATGTATATACTCTTCACATTGTTCCAGTCTCTTAAGCAGTTCTTATTGTGTAAAAAGAAGAAAATATATTCTTATCAGGAATAATCCTTTGCAATTTATTTTAGAGAAAAATCTAAACATCCCCATAAAACTCCCTGGCAGAGGCACAATAAAGATGCCATAATGAAATTATTATATCAGTCCTATCATATAAGAGACTAAATAGTACAGCATAATCCTAGCCACCAGTTTCTAGAAAATATAACTTCATTTTTATATATGGGTTATATTTTATATGAAATCAAGCTTTGGGGGGAAGAAGGGAGGACTCAGAAAGTCCATTCCTATTCCCTGAAACAAGAAAGAAAATGAGAGCAGCCAAGAAATAGAGATTACCCACTCAGTATAGGCAACTAAGTAAAAACTGAGAAAATAATATACTGTCATATGAAAATTGAAGAGCTGAAAGGCTGTGACCCAATAGTATCTTCACAGTGTTCTGAGTAAGTGATGTGAGCAATGAGAAAGTTTAAATTACTATAGGACTGCCTTCCAGGCTAGCCAACTCCATGCACTGTATTTCTTTATTTTTTGAACCATTCATTTATTCAATAAAATATATTAAGCTTCCACTAATATGAGGTTGCTATTAACTATAAATACAATGACACCTTCATCAGACTTAAGTAAAAGGTAAGAAGAGAAAAGAAAAGAAGAGAAAAAGAAAGAAGAGAAAAGGAAAGGAAAGAAAAGACATAATGAACTTTACAGAAAATAAGGTAATATGTGTATGTCTAAATCTTCCAGTAAAATCTAATCAATTTTTGTAACCCAAATACCACTTTCTTATTAAAGTGAATAAAAATATCAAAGATGTTTAATCTTCAACAGGCACCTTTTCTTTACCAGAAGATATAAGGAGGTATTACTCTCAGAGTCATATTAGAGCCAACTCTGCATTTGCACAAACTTCACAGTGAGTGCCTTCTTAGATTTTGTGCTCCAAGTGCCTCACTCACCTCTCCCTAGTCCTGAACCTGCTTTCTTCCTCCACATCCACTCTGTCCCCAGTAGCTGGAGAGTTATCTATCCTATATAATAAAAGGCAAATATGCAAATAGACCAAATGCAGAACAACCAAACTGGTCGCTATATGTGTGCTGACCACCAGGGGGCGGGCACAGAACATGGCAGATATCAGCAGCAGGCAGCAGAGTGTGGAATATGGCAGGTGTCGGCCTTGGAGGGGTGGGGGAGCAGGGGAGAGGGGGGGCCAGACCAAGGCGGGGCACTGGTCGCTGTCATCGGGGCTAGCCTCTGGTGGTTACTGAAAAATCTTGGCTCCCACATGCCGTGGTCCTGCCCAGCACTCCGACCTGCTGCTGGAGCTGGCCCCGCTCACACCCACTGCCAGCACCTGAGCCGCCGCTCGCACCTGCTGCTGGCCCCAATCACTCAGTGCCATCAGCGGGTATAGGTGGCGGCTGCCGGCCCTGATCACCCCTCAGGTCTTCTCCACCTACCCCTGCTCCTGAGTGGCAATCGGGCCAGCAACTGCTTCTCGCACCCACTGACAGCACCGGTCCTGATCACTTGGTGCCATTAGCGGGTATGAGCGGCTGCAGGCCCCAATCGCCCCTGAGGGCTTCTCCACTTGCCCCTGCTCCTGAGGGGCGATTGGGGCAGCAGCCACAGCTTGCACCCTCTGACAGTGCCAGCCCCGCTCCCACCCGCTGCTGGTGCTGGTCCCAATCACTCTGCACCATCAGCAGGTGCGAGTAGAGCTGGGGCTGTCAATGCATAGGAGTGGTGGTGGCGGGAACGGGGCTGCCAGCAGAGAGGAGACCAGGGGCCAGGCAGGAGGGGCCAGGCAGGGGTGCAGAGGATTGGCGGAGACCCGCCCCTGTGCCCACCACAGCCTCATGGCCCACAGTTCCTTTCAAGGTGCACAAATTCATGCACTGGGCCCCTAGTATATATATAAAAGCCTAAGTGACCATTCAACTGTTCAACCATCTGACCAGCAGCTATGATATGCAATGACCACCAGGGGGCAGACGCTCAATGCAGGAGCTGCCAAGCTGAGGTGACTTGGCAGCTGCAGTTCTCAGGTGACACACTTGGACCCAGAGAGAAGGGAGCCCAATTCTGCGGTACGCCACCTGAGAACTGCCCTCTCACAATCTGGGACCCCTGAAGGGATGTCAGAGAGCTGGTTTCAGTCCAATCCCTGCAGGCCAGGCCAAGGGACACCACCCACGCATGAATCCATGCACTGGGCCTCTAGTTAAAAAATAAACTAAAAGCATTATGCATACTCTGGTTTCTCTTCAGATCGCATAAATCTTTCGCCTTTTAAAAGCATTATGCCAATAATGCACTGGAAGTTTGTATGAGATGCTAAGAGGAAATCTGATAAAAATCAGCTTGAAGACAGACCAAGGCTTTAAGGCACAATGATAGATGACCATCTATTTAGACTAACACTTGCTGGAATCCTTCTGATTTGCAGTTAAAAACTATTTCCACTCAAAAACCCCCAGTCAGCTCACTGATTTAAGTTTTCTTCCAATTGGTATTTTGTTTGATGAGACAATGTGCAGACTATGTAAGAAGATATTTTAAATTTATGGAAAAATAAAATAACATGTATTTTTAAATATTATGGCAATTTTACTTTTAGATTTTTACTGAGCTCCCTTTTTTTAAACAAAAGGGACCCAAACTTAATCCCCGTGTTTCTGGAATGTATGAATAAATGTGTCTAAACAGAAATATCCAAGTATACTCAGTAGTCAACAAATGTAAGTTTATGTTTGCCTACCTTCTACAGTGAAGAGAAAAGCAATAAATGGGCAGACATCCCAGGATGATCATGCTAATCACACCAAATCCAAACATCCGGAATATCTGCAAAGGCTCTGTTGATTTAATTATATCTTGTTATTTTTATGAATTAAGAGAAGCAAATATGAGCTCTTTCATAAAGTCTTTATAAAAAGTATCAGTAAAGTAAAATAAGGAGGTATTCATATATGATAGGTAAATATACTTGCTCCTTTATAAGTGCAGGAGTTTATGAAATGTTCTTGAAACACAACTAAAGTAGACACTTTAAATACATGCCTCCCAATGGAAATCTTAACAAAATGATCCTACTGTTTCTCTTAACATATTATTATGATTCATAATTCTTCCTATGGCCTCAATATGTTTTTCTTTGGCCAAATGTTATACATCTTAGAGCACTCAAAGAGTAAATTAATCTATGAATAGTTAACTTGATAAAGGAATGGCTTCTTAAATGTTTACTTCCAAATTATAAACTTTAATTAAATAAATATCAAGAATTTGCAGATGAATAAGTATATTTTGTTTAGAAATACATTCTAATATGATTGGGGAATTGTAAGTCACGGTTCAAATTTTCCCTCTACAAAAACCAAATGTCTCTTCTCACATAATATAAAGACTAAATGATGAATAAATTATAAACACTGCGTGACAGTGTTAAAATTGTAATTCTATATTCATGATCAGATTTCATCTCCCATTATTAATACTAGATGTTCAACAAAGAGCTGTAAATTGAATAGGGGCTATATTAACCTAAGACATTGCTTTGCATGCATCCTTTTTGTGGTATCTGTTAGTGTTTAATCATATCAAATATATTCATCATGGGACTTACTGGTAATATGTCCCTACTATCCAAATGAAGGAGCAAAAAGAGACTGTCTAGTTCTCAAAACGTTGAAAAGAAAAAAAATCTTAATAGAAGAACCTAATTCAAAAATAATAAAACCAAGATAAATGAATACACAGACCTTAATAAAAAATACTTAAGTCTACTGTCACATAATGAGGTGCAGAAGATAAGATAAATGGGAAGAAGTCTATTCAGGGTAAGTAAATGGGGAGAAAAAAGTAAGCTAAGGAATGTCTCTTCGGTACATTCTACCAGGCAATGAGAGTTACCTCTCATAGAGTCTGAAATCTTTGGAACAAGATAGTGACTAAAGCAAAAGAAGAGACTCATTCCAAACTTCCATAGTCACATCTATTGGCTAAACAGAAACTGCTCATGAATGAGGTGGCCTGGCCACCTCAGGACATTATACAGATAGTATTTCTTTAGATATGGAAGCCCCATTTACTAAATGTGAAGTTGGGAAAGCCAAATTTAAATGTATGGCATTGTGACCTGCTTATTCAATTTTTAAAAATAGACATACAATAAATGTAAAAGGATGAACTTACTATTGCTTAATGGGGCAAAACAGCGGAAGTTCTTGGTCCCAAATGATGAATAACAGCATCTGTATTCCAAACATGCACTCTTGTTAAGATTTGGCAGATTATTGCAAGCCTCCACTTCCTGATTCTCCTTTACAATGCATGCTTTTAGAAACAAAATCCAAGAAAAAAAAATTCAATGTGATTAATAATTATTTTCCTGAATTAAAATAATTAGTGAGAGAGAAAAAACAAACATTTAAGCTGGTACATTTAATGAACAGTTTGAATGACATACAAATAGCAATGAATGCTGAAAAAATAAGAGTTAAACTAAAAATTACCACAAGATTATCTAACATCACACTTTCTATTCTAAATGAAATGCAGAAAATGAACAAGAATAAATGAACAAGAATAGGCCAAAAATGTCCTTAAAATAACATCTTTTTTAATGCAACAGATATCCTCTCACACATTTATTTTATTTTAAACTAGAGGCCTGCTGCACGGATTCATGCACTGGTGGGATCCCTTGGCCTGGCCTGCGGGGATGGGGCCAAAACCGATCTCTGGGTCTAGGGTGCGGGTGAAGCAGATTCTGGGCCAACAGTGCCCCAGCAGTAACCTAACCCACAGCCGATTCTGCAAGGAATTGGGCTCCCTCCGCAACTGGTCGGAGTATTTGCCTCCTGGTGGTCATTGAACATCATAGCTACCGGGCAAATGGTAGAGTGGTCCAATGGTCACTTAGGCTTATATATATATATAGATTATAGTTTATTTTTATTTTTGACATTACAATTGTCTCCCATTTCCCCCTTTGCCTTCCTCCACCCAGACCCTGGCCTCCCCTCTTTCATTCTTTTTTATTAAGCCACAGAAACTCATTGAATGCATCAGTAAGAATGAACATAAGTAAAATTCACACAGTTTATTGCTAGAGAGTAAGGTAAGTGATACTATTGGGACTAACCTACTTTCTGTGGACACTTGTCATATTGGCACTACCATATATTTTAAGATTCTTCCTTTTGAACTTAAGTTATGACTATAATTTTGGATATTCAATGATTTATGGCATGAATGCCAAGATTCATGCAACTGCAATAAAGTCATACAGGTTTGAATCTATATTAGTAAGACTCATGAGTTCAAATGCCGATTTTTTTAACAACCTGCTTTAGAAGAGAAGCAAATGACAACTACGGTAAAAAGGAAGATAACAGATTGTTACTCAAAAAGAAAATCTCCACAGTATTGCTTAAGGCCAGCTTAGATTACGTTCAATCTCCAATGTCATTAACAACTACAGATTGATGTTTTATGATGACTTTAAAGATACTCAACATAAGCAAATAACAACATAATGGTTAAAAGCATACTTTTACTTCATGGTTTATTTTATTATGTTCTTCTTCTTTAAAGACTGGCAATTTATGAAGCTAAGGTAAAAATAATACCTACCATTCAGAGTACTGTATATGCCTGTGTTTTTTTTTTCTAAAGCTGAGATGGAAGCCCAGTACCTCTTCTCTGAAGAGTGTAGGTTTGCTATTAATCACGTGGCATCTACGAGCTGCACATCAGTAATGCTTATTTATCTATGGCCTGTTATTACATTGAAGGCCCAGGAGAACCTCGTTTTGCCACATTGTTTGAAAATTAAGCTGAGGTGAAGAGGGAACATGGAAAGCAATTCCTAAGGTATCTAAGAGGATGTGAGAGTAAAATCTGCCTTCCAGTGATTAAGAGGCCTGAGATAGATAACTGGAAAACTGGCATACAAGCTCTAGAGAACATACAAGCTCATAAGCTCTGGAGTTAGAGAACCAGTTAATCAAGCTCTTGCTAGACCTGAAGACCATAGCTTCTGCCAACAATGAATATGATGTCTTATGCTTCATGGCAATGTACCTGGATGAACAAAAGAACAGAAACTACCTGAAACACCAGCTTGTATATCATTGGGAAGTGGAAAAGCAGGCCCCAGGAGAAGACCCATTTAAAAAGCCTGTAAATAGACCTAACATCTGAAGACAATAAAGCAAGTCTTTCCATTGTAGTAGGTCCCAAAATCAGCTACTTAAGAATTTTAATCTTCTCCATTTGACAGAAGACTACTTTTCTTCATTGGTATGTATACAAATAAATCTGTTTGGGCATTATAAAAAAACTAGAGGCCCAGTGCACGACATTCGTACACTGGGTGGGGGGAGGGGGGCTCAGCCCAGCCTGCGCCCTCTTGCAGTCTGGAACCCCTCGTGGGATGTCAGAGAGCCAGTTTCAGCCCGGTCCCGCAGGCCAGGCCAAGGGACCCCACTGATGCACGAATTTGTGCACTGGGCCTCTAGTATAGGATAATAGCTACCATTCACTAGGCCACATATTTGGGCCAGTTACCTTGCTTTACAAACATCATTTCTAATCTTCACAAAAAACTCTCAAAATGAGTTTTACAACCTGCATCTAAATAAATAAACACATAGCCCTTGCCAGGTGGCTCAGTTGGTTGGAGCATCATCCCATACACCACAAGATTGCAGATTCTATTCCCAATCAGGGCACATACCTAGGTTGCTGATTCGATCCCTGGTTGGGTCATGTACAGGAAGCAATTGATCCATGTTTCTCTCTTACATCATTCTCTCTCTCTCTCTCTCTCTCTCTCTCTCTCTCCCCTCCCCCCTTCCTCTCTAAAATCAATAAAAACATATCCTATCCTCGGGTGAGGATTAAAATTACTTAATTAATAACATCAAGCACTCACTGAACCATTCTTTTAGCTTTACAACATACCACCTTCTCAGATTGCTCTTTCTCCCCTCAACTTGACCATGGCAGTATTTTTAATTTATTTAAGGAGCTTGTTTATTTTGCTATTCTCATTGGTGGTAGGTATTATAATGTCTGTTTTGTATTTCATGAAACCAGTATAGAGATATTTATGCAAGGTCACAGAAGAATTCAGTGCTAGAGTCTGGAATTAAACAATGAAAATTATTTTTTCTTATATATGTACATCAAATATTATTAGAATAAATTCTGCATGATTTTTAATGAAAGCTTCATCTTTGTAATTCATATATGTCAATTTATTTTAAGCTTCTACTTGAAAGGGCACCACATGCTGTACAAAATGAAACATTGTTATTTGTGGTTAATAATTCTCAGGGGTCATCATGTGCTTGATAAACTCATTATATACAGAATCACAGAAAGGCGATGTGACTTGAAACCTGAACTTTTTATCATTAAAACAGATGGGAAAACATCTGGTATATTCCGCACATTAGAGCTACACAGCACCCTGATTAATGCCACAAAAGATATTGATTTCACAAAACTGGGTCAGGGACTAAATTTCAGGCAATGCCATTAAGGTAAATTGTAAAAGGTTTAGATAATTGTGAAGGAAAACTATTTTGTAAAGAGTAACAAACATATGGAGTTCCTGTAAAATATGGTCTCAGTTCTTCCTTGCAATTCTTTGTGGTAAATATTTTCATTTTAAAGTTGAGGACACTGAAGTTCAAAGAGGTAATCTTGCCGAAGACAACAGGCAGAGTCAGGATGAAAACTCAGGTCTATCCCACTCCAATGCCAATACACCATACTGCCTCCTAAACATTTAACTATTATTTTCAAAACAAGGACCCTGGCAGTGGGTGGAGGGAATCAACCAAGAACTTACTTGTGGGAAAGAAGAAACTTATCAGAGCTCTCCGTGCGTAAGTTTTTTCCAGAGATTGTCCATTAGGATTTTCACTGCTCCGCAGAATATCCTCACTTTCAGTCACAGAATTTGAGAAATCTTAATTTAAAAAAAAAAAAGGTGAAATTATTAATCCCAGCATATAAAGCATCTATAACTCTCTTTGGCCCCCAAAGTTAATAATGGAAAACATAAGAGCTAACAGATATTGTACTTACACCTCATAACATACCTTAACCATACCTCCGCTACGCTCCCCATTGGCTAATCAGCAGGATATGCAAATTAACAGCCAAAAAAGATGGTGACTGGCAGCCACTCGGCTGAAGCGAACATGAGGCTCGCTTGCTCCAGTGATGGAGGAAGCCAAGGTTCCCTGCCTGCCGCGGCCCAGCTCTGAGCTCCGGAAGCAACAATGTTTCAATTATAGAAGCTAAACAAACCCCAGATACCTGCTTTCAGCCACCACGGCCTCAGAGCTTAGAGCGCGAGTGATGGCAACAGAGTTTCAATTATAGAAGTCAAACAAACCCCAGATACCTGCTTTCAGCCA